AAAGAAAGGAAGTTATCGTGCGTTTGTTAAAGATTTAACGGTTATTCAATTGAGGATATGTTCATCGTCTAATTTCATACTTATTATCAATCTATGAATAATGATTTATACTTACTTTGCAGTATTCAGTTTCAGTTTGTAATTGTGTTTGAACGAATTGTATGTAATTATAAAGTAAAGGAGCCGACATCATACAAATAATTGCTGTAAAAGCGCTTGTTGTAACACCAAAAATTGCCAGATATTTAAGCTTATCAGCATATAATACACGTTGTTGAATTCGTTCATTCTCATTAATCATCCCTTTTCTATTTGACTAAATTATTGCAATTTAATCTGCAATTTTTAGCCTTTAATAAATAAAAAAATTTGATTTGGATTAATTTTATCATCGAATAATGGATGAAACAAAAATATACAAGTTATTATATCCCCCTGTTAAAATTAATATTAAAAAAAATTAAAAAAAAGAGAGTTTAACGTGATTGAGCGGAGAATATTGTAAATAAACTTATCGAAACAAGTTTCCTGTTTCATTTTTTGCCGCTTTTTAACAATTGAAAATTCAAAATTATCAAATTTACACTTCTACTATTTTTGTCTCAAAGCATTGCAGCAAATTAGAACATAAACTTTATGAGAAGTTTGAGAATTTAATAAAATTATCTATGAAAATTTTGTCAATTTCGGAAACTAAATGACCCTTTCTTATCAACTTTAGTTGGATGAGTTTTTGACTTCAGCTTTTTTGAAATTAAAAACGTAATATAAGATTTTAATTTCAATTATGAATTGATTCTGGCAAAGCTTAGTTTTCAGAAACACTGGTCATCCCCATCGCACAGATAAAAGTAAATGGTCAATCAAACAGTTAGTGACGTAAAATTCCTCCTAAAAGTTGATGCTTGACTTTGACGTTGCAAATTCAACACCAATAATCAAATGTATTGAACAGGATATCCAATGATGCTGATCGATCGCAAATGGACGAAAGATTGAAGAAAAGCGATGAATAAACTTTCGCAGCCAACAATGGCCATCAATGTAGTAGAATCACTCTTATAAGCCAGTTTTCTTCTTTCTTTTTTTTTTTTTTCATTATCCTTACATCATTGTAATGGGAGGAGAATGGATGGAGAAGATAAAGTGGGATGGAAGGAAGCGGGGAAGAAAATGGTGGTGATAAGTTTAGCAATATCTTTTGGGATTTGACAAATGAACGAGGTAACAAAAGGGCTAAATTGTTAAAATAATATGAAAGCTATACCTAATCATTCCTTTCATCTTTTATGTCATGAAATATATCTAAGCAAAGCAATTCACTTCCATTTTCTTTAGCACTTTATTTCTGATGTTTACAATTTCATAAGCTAATACATCTTTTTCCTAACTAAACTGCCCTACAGCAGAGCTAACAAATTTGTTCTACAGTACAGCTCACTTCGTATCTTATCATTCGAAAATGAAAGTATATTTCAAATCATATTAACAATTTATGGCAATAAGTAAAACTATAAGATGGCTACATTAATCATTCATGTGGAATCACTGTTAACATGCTAGCTAGAATGCTTTTAGTTAGAATGCTTTTTTTCCGCTCATCCCACCACAAAATTTCCATAAAAGGATTGGTGCCAAGATGCAGTAACAATGATCAAATATTCCTTCAAGGTACTAGTAAATTTAACACCTTAAACATGCATCACATTAAAAGATATTTGTGAAATAATTTTAATTTCTGTAAGTGCTTCATTCCTCGGGAAGAGTTCTACGGATAAATACAAACTATCTGCTCGTCAAAAGATTAAATAGTGTAAAAAGTTATCATAATTGTGAAACGATATTTGTTTTTCGTACGGAAAGTCTGACGTAATGCCATAACAAAAATGTTAAATTAATTTAAACTGCATGTTATAAAATGTTTGACTTAAAACTTCTCTAAACAATTCTCTAAAAGCATTCCCTAAACAATTCCCTAAAAACTGAGCTGAAATTCATAACACTGGTTATACAGTTTCCTCATTTAATTCACAACAAGTGAAGCAAGTATGAAATTTCTAAACGAAACATATGGCTTGGAAAATATACATGTTAAACTTTTAAAAAGCAATGACACCATCACCATATCATTTACGAGTAAGTCACAAACTAATAAAAACTTAAAGTCCGACTTTCTCAGGAATAATTGCTTGTATAAATTAATGGGGATTAAAGACAACCGTTTTTTTATAGTGGCAGAAATTACATGTAAATGGTCCGAAAAAGTAAACTATAAAAAGATCGGCATTTATTATTTTAATTCTAGCAAAGAATTTTTTTACTATCGCAGATTTTATGACTTTCCTACTCAAACTAAAATTTCGATAAAACAATGACTTATCCCTTGATTGAATCAGCAATAATTAATGGTGTGTTTCAATTATAAGGCACAATTTCTAAAAAATGTCGAATGTTGGCAAAACGTGCGTACATATTTGAGCTATGCATTTTCTGCTCTATTAAAAAAAATAAAGGAAGGAAAAAATTAGCTAATATCCCTGATAACTTTTTGTAATATCCACTGGGGATTCCGTTGTATTGATTGCTGTAAACGGAGCATTTTGATATGCATTTCGATCACTTTGTCCTGAAATATTATAAATTTTGTGCTTTCTAAGATAAAATGAAGCTTTGCATAATTTGCATAACTATATAGCACAGTGTTTCGACCAACTATTCAGGGAGCTGAATGATCGTAATTTGAAATGTTTGAGCAAATAATTTCCCGACTAAACCTCATGGTTTTACACAATATAATTTGAAATTTCTTCTTTTGATTGTTCTTTGCAACTTTTTATCTGATTTTTTAGCATTTAACGTTATGATTTCGGATAATTCATTTGTTAAAATAAACCAACCAACAACGCCAATATCGCTTTCGCCTCCATAGCTGTAATCAGGTCCAGCTTGTATACCAGTTGTGAAATCCTGTTCATAGGATGGTACGAAATTTGTTATTGCACCTTCTTCGTAGCGTCTCCAGGCCAAAAAGGCAGCTGCTCCCTAAAATTGATGACATTTTGATAGTAATTCTTCCAGTAAGAAAGCCAACTACTTATGGTATTGAATAAATGTAAAGAAGTCTACTGGAACAGCAAAAAATTTGCAAGAGATAAAATCAAAATTCGAATTGATACTTTTCCCAGCTCGCCAAAACCCGATCTTATGTTAAACTCAAAAATTCTCATCTAAGCTTCTCATAATGGGACGAAAATAATTCGTTGCTTTTTAGTAAAATAAGACTAAAAAAGCACCCAAGTAACGAATGATAGAAGCGCGAATAAGATGGCGCTTTTGGCCATACCACCGTCGTACGGTTTACTTATATCCACCTCACCATACTTTGACCATAACGAAAAAAAGGTTATCAGAAATAAGAACGCCAGCAATGCTGAAAGTTATGACCCATTCTTTTTGACAGCATTTCCCAGGTTAATTTGAAATTTAAGAAGAAATATTTTAAAATTCTAATCTGTTTTAAAATTATGCTTCAAAATATTAAAACGTTTTAAATACCCGACATAATTTGTTGTTTGGATATCTAGGGATCTTGATGGATTCTTGTTCAGTGTTGACGTTGAGAATGGCCTTTGATGTCCACTCAAAAACTAGTGTTGGAAGGGAATTATCAAGGGAATGGCTCGGAAAATAAAAATAAACAAATAAGTAAATTGACTACAAAAGTTTCGGATTAGTTAAAATGGAGTCTAATCATCTTCATTCTATTGGTTATTGCTGAATGAAGAAACGCCATATTCGAGAAATAGACCTTTAAGACCGTATCTAGTGTTGCTCTTTTTCTAGGTCAGTAAAAATTTCAGCAATTCAAAAAATTATGAGGTTGGAAAAACAACAGTGAAGTTAACAAACCAGATAGGATCATATCGGTAGTTACAGCCCGTTTTCTGGTTGGAACCGAACTAATTTTCTCGAATTTAGCATCTAGAAACAGTAGACCCAATGAACTCAGAACAGCAAAAAAACCCATCGCTGAACCAAAGGAACAAGTCGATGAACTGTTGGCATAAAGACAAATTTGTTTGTCACCATTTTCTGATATATACCAACCACCACGTGACACGGCGATCCATTGTGCAAGCCCAACTATCTAAAATGAAACTGCCACTGATATGCGCATTTTTCTAGTCTCTTTAATGTTTCAATTGTAAAATGTATGATCCTAGCCGCGAAATCCATGATAATTACGACAGTGAAATTAGCATTCTTGTGTGGCAGGGAGTTTCATCCTTCATCTAACAAGTATCACTAGCCAACTAGAAAAAAAAAATTATAGTATTTTCATTTATGAAACAACTTCAAAAAGAAAAATTTTTCATTCCACAAACCAACGCAAAGATTCGAAGAATAACAGTTGGCTTTCTCAGGAAAACGCCCGGTTGAAATTGTCCACCAGCCAGGCCGGCACCATATGCTCGGACATTCTCCATCATTTAGATTATATCCAATTCTAAGAAATTCAGTTCTTGTCACAATTTTGATTAGTACATTCAACAACGAATTCCATTATTCGTTTAAATAGTAACAGCAATCTTCTATTAATATGACTTTAAAAACAGCAAATAACTCAGGTGGGACCTCAAAGTATCGTATGAGAAATGTTCAAGTTTGTGGGGAAAATTGCACTTCGAAATAAAAGAGTTTTAAGAAAAAATAATAAAATTTAGTTAAATGAGAAATTTTGGAAAGTATTGAATCGAACGATGAGGAAAATGTTCCACTTTTAAAAAAAAATCATTCGCAGTCCATCTTTTCATGCCAACTTCTATTGTTTCAAATGGCTTCTTCTGCTCCTTTCTTGTTTTCAAATAAAAATCATTAAAAAAGCATATAAATATATGCAATACTTTTTTTAAAATGAATTTCAAAAGTGAAATATAACTGTGAATATAAGCGGAAAACGATCAAAGCGGCAATAACAAGTTAGAGGCCATAAAAGTAATTCATCTCTACATCCAGATAGATCGGCAAGCCAATTCAGCTCAGCTCATTTAGAGCTCATCAGATCATTTCCATTTAATTCACACACAAATTCGACATATGGATGATTAGACAGTAACTAGTCGCATTATGGTTGAAATATCGTCCAATTTTGTTTTTCAGTTTTTAAACTAAAAACTTTTATTCTAATAAAATTGAGGAAAAAATTAAGATAATCAGTGAAGCGTGATAATGTATATATTTTAAAAGAGAAATAGAAAATTCCTTGCCATAGAAGTCCTCTTCAATCTGCTCCAGCAGGAGAACTACATATTCGCACAAATTGATTAAAAGAACCACAAAGCAACTCACATTGTCAAGCCTCTGAAGCTGTCAGTTTTAGGCCTTTCCTCCTCCTTCTCTCAATATAACTAGGCTTTCCCACAAGCATTTCTAACTTAGCTACACTCCTACTACTGATTACAATCCATGCTTCGATTTTCTCCGTTATATAGATGTAAGGAAGGCTACACCAAAACATTCCATGAATTTTTGTTTTCTTCCTCTATGTATTCACATGTTACTCCAAAATGATCAACGTCAAGTTTCACTAGCATTTATGATAAGAAATATTACAGAATCCTCTACTCAAAATTCATCAAAATGATAAGAATTTCGTCGAAATAAAATGTAACACTGGTAAGGAAATGAGTAAATCGATGGAAATTATTCCCACTAATCCCCGATAGTGCAGAATAAAGGTGATATTGTAAGGGAGGAAGAAATAAAATACAACTCTGATGAAGTGTATTACTAAGAAAAAAAAAAAATACAGCTATTTCGGAGGTAATATCTACCAACGAGAAAATGAAATCATCCCCAACCTTCATCAAATCCCCTAAATTATTCCCGAAAGCTTCAGATGCATTCTCCTTTTATTAAAATAGAGCATGATGATTTTATATCTCAACGCGTTCATTGGTCATAAACAGCGAATCGCAGTGGACAGATACCCATAAATGCTTTCCGGGAAGTTTCGGAGCATATAAGCAATGACAAAATTCAATGGTCTAGTGACGAAAATTACGAAATCTTCCTTGGAAAACCAGCGAAGTAGTGCTAACGTCGTAACTACGTTCTTCTCAAAACACTTGGTAAAAGAAAACCTTATCGAGATTACTTTATATGTCATTCAATGTGTGATTTTCACATATGACTGAATTGCGGATCCAAACCCGTACGCTTAGATCATCCAATGATCCCGGCAGTGATAGAAAACAATGTGTTCCACGCTTACTTTGATTTCAAGATATGTGCACTGTAGCAGTAATACTTTCCCGTTTCTCCACTTTGCTTCAAGACAACCTTTCAGTTCTCTATGAAATGGATTGCGTAGCACCATATCCGCAAATTACCGGTGGGACGGCTCGGATTCTGTCCACTCCTCTTGGATATTGTCAATGCGTCTTCGTAGTTTTATTATCTTGGTGTTGTCCCGCGTTATCTGTTTGTTCGGAGCTTCTTATGATTGCTGGCACACTTTATGAGAAACTTCTCTCATTGTTTTGCAATCAGGGATAGTGATGTCCGGGATTATCTCTTACCATAGTTCGAATAGATTACTCATGTATCTACTTTTATTCTCTGTATTTTCAGCTTATTTCGACCAAACTCACCGGAAAATTGGTGGGAGTTAATGCAGACGAATGCAGCTGTTGGTTATCCAGAATTTACTTTGAGTGGTCTAACTCGACGTTACCCATAATTAAACTGGCGTCTAGCAAGATCAATAGCCGGCTTGACCGGCTTCTTCCGGATTATCTTCGTGATACGGTGGAATGGATAACCAAGTAAGTTTTGATATTGTTTGATAAAGGTTTCCATGCTGAGGTCATGTGTGAGGACTGTGATATAGGATTTCATCTTTAGCTGCCTAACAGATCCGCTATCTAACATCATTTTCTGCATTCTTCACATCGCTTACTGACATCATTAAGATGCTTTTCGCATTAATTCGTTTGTATGAATAACATTAGTTACTTATGGTCCTTCGTTGATTGATCTCTTGAATCACTCCGTTTATAATTTGATCTTGGATTCGTGTCAAATCTTTTGAAAGAGCCTAGTATTCATAAACAAGTATCAATAATTTATTTGTGAGAACTTGTGAGAACCTCACTAAAATTTGTGAGAATCTATACAGATCGAGCATGTTGGCTAAATGCTTTCTTCTACTTCTCTGCAATTTCATTAATGAAGTTTCGTTTTTTCCTTTGTCCTTTGTCATATTTCTTTCCAGCATACCTCCTTATTGTTTTCAGGAAAGAACTCACATTCATATACAGATTTCTGTAGTTACTGTCCAACAAGAAGTACCATTTGCATGTTTCCCTGGCTTAATGTTTATATTTGACTGGTTTTCTCAGCAACCTGGTATCCTATAAACCGATGAATCCGTTTCGGATGAAAATAGATTTAGCAACTGCAACAAAATAGTTCTTTATGAGTTTCAGCAAAAACTGACTATATAGTGGATGAGAATCATACTAACTTAGCAGGTTGAAAATTTGCGGCAATTTTCAAAATAAAATACAATGGTGAAAGATGAACGTGGCGAAATAGGAAATTTTGGGATAAAATTGACAATTGTCATTTGTCAAGAATTTTCTATGAATTTGCAGAAAGTTGAGTTTAGTGTATTAGTTGGTGTTTGTTGGATTCGCAATATTAATGAAGCTTAATAACTGCACACTTATACATCGGAGACCCATCATGAGATGTTTCGTTCACTCTTATGACTACAATAGATGGGGATTCAAATATTGTTCAGGTCTAACTGCCGGAATTCCGGGCATAACAGGGACAGGGATTGTAGAATTCGTTATCTTAAATATGCTAATGAAGAAGAGCAGTACATGATAGGTAGAAAAAGTGAACATCCCTTTAGGAACACCACCTGTTTTCAGTTTTTGTATTTAAGGTAGCATCGAAAATGCCAAATCAAAATCCCCAATTTTTACAATGCAAAAGTGCCATACCTGCCGTATTTATTGTCACAAGTACCGGATGTATGTTGCACATGTGACAATTCATATTTCACTGTTCTCAGCTGCGAGCGATGAAGGATTGATTTACCGGGTTGTGCGTATGTATGTATGCATGTTTGTGTTTGTGAAGTGTATTCTAGGTGAACGATCGCTGGTGACAGTCCCCTCCCTCCACTGTCATTCAACTATTAAGATCAGTGCTGGTATAGAAACGATGGTATTACTATTAGTCGTTAGTTTCGGATGAAATGTATTTGATAATTTCCTCTCACTACAGGCAATTTTTTTGGTTCTTATTTGTTTCCGTTTGTAAGAGTGATTGGTAAAGGTTGAGAGAGAAGGATGGCTGGGGTATTTCTACTTTCATTGTTGGGAAGGACCATTTCAATTCACTCTCCCAAGCTGTACTGTTACCCATTAAGGGGATGCTGTTGTAATTATCACGACCTATTAATTTTGGTTGTTTCTTATTTGACTGACATACTTATTGACATACTTATTCAATAAATATTTATGCCATAGTTTGTATATTGAAAGCCAGCTTCACTATTCATGTAACAATCTGTGATGCACTCCTATAAAATTACGGAACTGCGTTAATGACTGTTTTTATTTCGCATTACTGTTTGGCTGGAAATTCTGGGACAACCGGCATAACCTGATTTTCAGTACAACTGCTTCTGAATTTTTCATCCTTTATTAATTGAATCACATCAGTGTTTTTAATTTCTCACCTGTCAACCTCCTTCAATAAAGATTATATGGAACCAGTCTTTTATTGACACAAATCCTCATCCTCATACTAAAAAGGAGAAATCTGGAAACTTTCAGGGAAGTGGTCGGACTCTAGAAACAATCAGGATTATGGCGGAGGCCCGGTCCAGATCCTTGTGGGAAAACATCCACATTTTTTCGGTTCGGTCCTCTTACTCCATGTACCAATGTAGTTGCCTATGTCTTCCCAGCAATTGCCAAAATTATGTCCGAAAGCTTGTATACCTAAGATATAAGTATAACTGTACATACATAAATCTATTGTGACAGATGACAGAGATGCCATGCTTTCATCATGATATGGGTCTAGTGTGGCGATAGTAGCATCTTGGTTCCTTTTAGTGTTTTAGTGTGTTCAACCTTATAATGAAACGCATTGTTATTTATTGATCGGGTGAAATGTTAGATCGTGTCGTTGGTCTATACTGATTGTTATTTTCCTTACAGATTAAGGAGCTGGAAATAAAAAGCGAAAAGAATTCAGCAGAACGATAAAAATCACGTTCTTTTTGATCTCTTATTAGTTTATATTTAGCAATCTTTTCCTTCTTTTTTTTGTTGTCAAAGTTTAAATTTTCCTAAATCTTGATTATGGTTCTGAAATTATTTCTTGCGCTGTCATTTTCCAATTATCAAAGATGAATTTTTGTGGTATGCATTTTGGACCAGTACGTGAAAGAAATGCCGAAAATTTGCATTATCTGCTGACGTCGACAGAACAGTTGATAGTGTTTATCTTTTTCTTTGACGATCTCTAACACCAGATTATCTGATGTTTCCAAGATCACTGATTGTCTCTAATAACATTCACGCAATATCCGAGAATTGAAAGTTGGTGGATTTCATTTGGTTCACATTCAGAAAGTTAAGTACATGGAGATATGACGAATGGATAACGTTAATGTTCGTAGAAAAAGTTAGTGATGTTGGTGTTAGTCAAACAGAGGGTTAGAAAATATCGGGCGCAAACCACATTGAAGCCTTCCGGTTCTGCAGCTTTCCATTTTCGTCCGAGCTTGTTTTTTACCCTATGCTTTCGTTATGATTTGGTCGAAATTTCTTATCGATTGGGGTGGTTTTTACGTGAATATCGATTTCTCCTTACTCCGTCTAGTTGTACCTCATTTTTTGCTTGCATGATGGGCATAAAGCATGATTACATGGAAAGGTGACCACAGGGACGTCTCTAGTGTTTTCGAAAATGCTGAACTAATTTGAAAAACTACACAACTAAGGTGTAAGAATGTCATTCTTAAAAAATACCTTTTAATGTATTTCCCTTCAGGATTTATTGGATAGGCGTAGAACTAGTGAAAGTGATGAGATTTCTGTCTAATTATATTAACTGGCACTCTGCTGACAAGAAATTGTTGCACTTCCAAAAGTATTGACACGTTGCATTAATCATTTAACATGGGTCAGGAACGAGACGAGTTGTGCCCGTCAGAACAAGAGTGGAGCACCAAGTGTAGTAACCACCACTAATCAGTTATAAAGGAGTAGGAAATTAATAAGATTGATATAAGTGGAGTATCACACAGCTAATGATGGGAATGTTTTGCAACAGACTGTATAAAATGTGTAGGACCATATTACCGGAAAGCTTTCTTTGTGGTAGTTGAGTGCTGTTAATGAATGTCCTGTTAATTAGGTGTAGCTATGGATGTAACGTCGATACTGACTGAAAAATATCCGAGTATGGAAACAGCTGGTGGAAGTGGGTCAGTTGAAGTATCTGCTGGAAATGTTAAATCGCAGGCACATGCAAAGCGAAGCACATTATCAAGACATTCATCTAAAGATGTTAGCGAGGATGGCTGTTGCCTTGCTAAAATATTCCTGTCTAATATCGTCTCATTTGCAATGTGAGTTCATTTTTATTACTTTATTCCCTCATTTGTGCTGAATACTGAATATGAATGGGTGCGTAGAACAGCCATATGTCCAACTTTTTTCTTACTGTTTTTTTTTTTTTGATTTAGTGTGTCACCAAGGTTGTACATCAAGAGATGACGGTTCAGTGTCATACGCAGAGTGTAAAAATTGCATGCAGCAATTTTTTCAGTTGATATCCGAAAATGTACAATTCGGATAGTACAAGCAATTTATCATCTTTTAACGTTTGTTGTCTGATCTTATCACACCTCATCAGTCTTCCTTAATTTTAGCTCTGAATCACTCATAAGGAGTTTGGAGCTGATTTCTGCAGAATTAGTTGTCCATTACTTTTAAATTAGAAGTCAAATAAATATTAGTTTATCCGGACAGAATTTCAGTCCTTCAAAATATTATTAATTTTACTATTACCAGTCATTCAACTCATAGATCTGGTCAAATATCTGACAGAAATATTTGTTTGATTATAATGAAGCAATTTTCTTTAGAGAACGGTTCAGTTTTGGTAGTTTGGAATGGCATATTTTGAAAACTGAAGTAGTTTCTCTCTTCTTCGATTACAAATTTTACGTGGGGGTATTATTTAGGGTAATTTTTTGGAGGAAATAGAAATTCAATACGAGTCAAATTAATGTAAATCATTTTCAGGAGATCGCGGCGCAAGGGTGTGAATGAAAGGTGTCGTTCAGTGCGACGTATGTCATCAAATGGAGGGAAAAATGCGACCACATGCATCCATGCACCGAACTGTAAACGTAAAGCTCTATCTGAAATGGGAGTGTGTGATTCTTTCGATGATGAAGTAAGTTGTTGTTTTGTTACATAATTCTGTTGTTGTTGCATCCATCGCGAATATCTGGTGGATATTCTTTGGAAGGTGCAGCATAGTGACGTGCAGAATTTCTGCATTTTGCTTGGAACATTCAGAATTGGATTTGAAGGAAGTAGGAAAGAATTTATCATTTTTCTAGATGATTAGGCGACTTTCAAAGCTACCTCAAGGAATGGACAGAAATGAATGGTTGGCTACACACAGTAAGTTATGCGCTCATTGTTTTCGTAAGTATTAAATGATTGTAGTCAATAAACACATTTAAAAATCTAGGAAATTGCAACTATTATGAGTCACTAGCTAAAATTCTATGAACAGGAGCATATTTCAGCATTATCTCTTTTCGAGAATGTAAATGCTTTGTGTGGAACGATATCAGAAGTGTGCACGCCGGTTTCATGTCCTATTATGTCCTATCCAGGTGTTCCGTAAGTTTCGCACTAACTGTCACACTTTGTTAATCTTCAATGAATGAAAAGTTATTGTTGCTTAACGTGACATATTACATTTATTAAATCCAGTACTATGTTTTTAAGTCTTAAATTGTTAAATTGTTTCCCGCTTTGATATTTATTTTTCTTTTGTAGTTCGTATGACATAATTTCTGATAGGGATAGGTACTAGAGTTATGGGAACCACATTAAAGTTTTATGAGATCTGTTATCGTTTGATTATATTTGGTTCAAAAAAAAATTAATTAATATCGAAATTTTTGGTGTATAAATATCATTACGGTAACATTTCAGGTTTTGTTTTTCTGTGGTTTGCAAAATATTGAGAACAGATGTTAAACAAACTTTCAGAATAACTGTTACAAAGAAAGTTGCAGGAAAGCACATTGGGTTGATGAAAGGAGGAAACATCATCCATATTCTGCTATGCAATACATTGATTGTGTATTATCATTCTGCGAAAAAAGCGCAAAGGATGAGCGACTTTATCCAACTAAATATGGTGTGTTTTCGAAATTATTTTTTTATGCAACAGAGGTCTGTTATATGCCGAAATCATGTGAGGGAAAAGTTATGGACTCTATCTTTTGGCCACTTATAGTTTTTAAGTGTATGCGCTCTACCAACCTTCCTGTACTATAGAAAACATTTGACAGTAGCAGAGCACTGCTGTATATTTACAAATGTAGGGATCTTTTGGTGAAATAGAAAAGCATTTGTTCTTTGACATGATATTAACTTGTAAGTTGTTTTTGTTTTATTAATCCTTATAATATTAAATGTTCTTTTAGGATCTGCTTTTTCGAATAATTTTGAAAATCACTGCCGTCGTCTAATACGATTACTCTGGCATAGTTGCGGGCACCTGTACACGAATCACTGGGAACAACTAGCTACTTTGAATCTGCGGTCTCAATACGGCTTGGTTGTTGCACATATGTACTCTATTGCTAAAATGTATGATCTTCTGGAGAGTAAGGAACTGTCCGCCCTTTCACATACGCTGCAGGTAAAAAATTTGCTGTTATTTATATGAACATATTGCTTACATTCGTAATGTGCAAGCCTTGCCCGCAAACATGCTAATATCTTTCAGAATTCCCTTCCTTTTCGATATTTTGTTTCCAAATAACTTTTTTGGTTACCCACACTTTCAACGCTGCTGTACGATGCATTTTCAAAATTGATGTATTGCAGTTGGTACGTCCAGCAGTGCTGTATCACGGATGTGGTCATCAGATAGTACAAATTAGTGATGGATCCAGCGGTCCTCGGCAATTCCCGTCATCAAAAAGTGGTAGCTGGGGTGGTTATCCGACAACTACCGCACTGTTGTGCAAGCCTTACTCGCAAACATGTTGATATTTGCTTTCAGAAAATTTTTTTTTTCCTTTCAGATATTTTGCATGAGTTTATGTGTCATGTCCGCAGTGCTCCATGACTAAATCCGCCATAGAAGGTGGACTAGTGGGTCAAAAGTGGTTAGATAATAATAAGGCTTTCTCCGTTTTCGAGTTAAGAAATTTCTAGAGAATCCTTACAACGGTTCATGCAAGTAATGTTATGAATAATAATTCCGAAGCTTTCGAAGATTTCATTTAGTAGACATTTGTTGGACTTGAGGCCTCAGATCACATGCACGCATTAGATTATAGTTTGGTACTGGTCACTCTGTTGTGCCGACACAATTTTGGAAGTTGCATATTTGATGTGATATTGTTGGTGTCGCTTTGTTTAAAATACTCCATGTATATATCGCGTCTATTTTAGGAAGATCTAACAGATTAATTTCTACCAAAAAAATCACTTTTCTTTCCCGATCTTCGGTTTTTTTTGGTCTCCGGTTTCCTACTTCTCTGTATAAGAATATATGTTATAATTAACTTCCCAATTCACTTCGACATGATAAGCTAATTATCATATAATAGATTGAATTTATCATATAATATTGGAAAGTAGAGATTCAAAAAGCAGCAACACTAGCTACGTTGAACAACAAAGTATAAGTAGCTCAAATTGAGTAACAAAGCAAAAAGTAGCATATGTGAACACTACGGTGGAGACTGACCAAACCTCTCTCCGTTTGTAATTTTTTTGGCTTAGGGAAGTCTTAAATAAGTATATTTCAGAACATGTCATTGGTCATTGCAGTATATATCGGATATCAAACTTCATACATTAGTTAAGCAGAAGAGCATTGTACCAAATAACATTAGTCACAGAGCATTTGAATCCGAAAAAGTGTGTAGACGTCTCAAATTAACCGTTACTCTCATTACCTATTTAAAGTTCAGCAGGATCATGTTTATTTAGTTGCTCACCATAATCGGTTGCTTGTGATCCAACGAACGTGTCGTAATGATCCAACACTTCTTTTAGAGACAACTTTCCATCCTGCAAAAATGATAAATTTAATGAATAAATATTTCGAGATGAAAATCCCGACAATTGCAAATCTCAACTTCCCCTTTATCATCTAGCCTGGTCAAACGACAAGTTATCCCATTTAAGGCAAGAAAAACCTTTCCGAAATAAGTTGAAATAGAAGGAGATAGTGTTCAGAGATGGAATATTAATTTTATAAATGGACAACATTCATACACACGTCCTGAACTTACTCCGTCTTCATCGGCGATGCCAATTAAATGTTTTGCTTCTGCATCAGCATGATCGAAACCTACAGGCATTATCCAGTCCCTCATTTCATCCTGAAATAGAAGTAGCAAAACGATAACTGATTATGCAAAGAGGAAATAATGCGCTTCTTAAATAAGAATAGTTTTTAGTAATACTTGATCCAGTTTGCCGTCACCGTCTTTATCTCGATGTTCCTTGAACATTTGTCGTTCACTGGCAACCCATTCCGGCTCTTTGCCGTTCAATTCTGGATAGTCTTCCGGTCTGTACATGTCACCTGCAATGACAAAAACTGGCAAGTTGCTCTATTTACAACTTCAAGCATGTGCAATGTAGAAGTGAGTTTCTCATCTTGAAGTTATAAGAATAGTTCCCAATTTCGAAATTGATACGAAGCTTTGTAGGAAAAAAAAAGTCGCAAGAATCAACTCCCTACAATCAGTTATTTCTACGAACATTAGCATGTATGGTGGTGTACTTACCGATATATTCATCAAGATCTACAAATCCATCTTTGTTTTTATCAATGTCTTCGAGTGTCTCCTGAAAACAATAAGAGTTAAAAGATATCAACACAACTCTGCGTTTAGACCGGGTGACTTTTATACTGCTATGTCTTGCACAGTTCATTTAAACTAATGTGTTTAATCCTATTTTGCTACTCTCCAGTCACCTGAACAACAACATCGCGCATGTGATCGCAGTCCTCAGGATGCATAAAACAACCATATTCAGTTCGATCAAGCATTTCATCCGAATCATAATCAGCCTTCTTCCACCTTCTTTCATCACGTGTTATCATCTTTTGGTATTCAGCACTCAACTCTTGTCCTTCACCTACTGTTCCATAAACCATTTCTCTGAAATTCACCACTTTATTTTATTCAGCATTAAAACATTTTATTCATCACTAAAACAATGGGAGAAATGCGTCCTGCAGCGGACTCATGTCAGCTCACATGTAATCTTTCCATGAGATTTTCCCATCCTTAACTTTCTCCGCATTATAATTTTTCCATGTTCGATCAACATCATTATTAACATATCGTTTTTGCATGAAGTCAATGTGGTCTTTCAGTTCAGATTCTTCCAAGAAACCATCACCATCTACGTCCATTTTCGCAACTAACTTCCTGAAAAATTCAGTTTGATGCCAAAACTTACAAATCGCCACCCGCTAAAATTTGTAAAACATAAGTTTGCTAAGGTAATTTGAGCAAGATACAATTCAAGAACTGGACATTCGCCAGCAGTTTTTATATGAACTTGTTAGTAGCTTCAGATACTATTTAACATGCCACTTAATATCTATATACAAATTATATTTCTGCAAACGGCATTCTGATCAGATCAAAGAAAATATTGTGTAATTGCCGTTCTATATCTCCGTTAGAGATAGAGCCATATTAAGTACGCAGTTGAACTACTCTGCGGTGTTTTACACGGAATCTTTAAGCAAATTTAATATATTCCCAAGGTAATAACGATCATTACACACTTACGCAAGGCGTTCTTTGCTTACGACGTCCTTGGATTCAGCAGTATCTTTACCGAGAAAGGCCTCATGGTCAAATCTGCTGTCATGTCCGCCAGCCTTAAAATTATAATGTCTTTAAATAAGACCAAATCAAAAATTAGTGCAGTGAAATGCTATGAACTACGTGATCTTGAAACTTGGAAAACTGCGAGTGTGCAAACAACATACTAGAGGAGATACCTTGAAATGTTCCCTATCAGTAAGTGGATCGACTTGATCGCTTCTTGCAAATGCAAAAAGCACACCAAACGCAAACCATACAAGCATGCTGAGCAATAATAAATACGCAGGAGGACGTAAAACCAATAAATTTGATTTCCCTCGACAAGTAAACCAGTAGTGGTAAACCAGTAATTTTCTGAAAATAATGATAAGACGCCGAAGGTAACTCCACTAAAAATGAACAGCGCTTTAATCCGACTAGTTCCAGAAAACTATGCCACCTATCCTGCTGCATACTCATAACAATGTCAAACCAACTCCTACATTTTCATAAAGACATTATTTTTGGAGGGCAAATGAAGTAACCTTTTCCGGAAAAGAAGCTTCTGCAGGATGACAAATCTAATGAGCAATAATATTTATATATACTTTAATGCATAATAAACTGAACCTGAAAATGAACGTAGTTAAAGTAGTGAACACTACGCACAACATTCTATGCATAACATATGCCTACAGAGCATATTTCATTGCTTAAAGCGTAATGACAACGCTTTTTTGTTGATCACGATGATGGATAACAAGGAAAACCACAGAGTCAAGCAAATGTCACATCGCGCAGTATATCAATTAATTTCAACGTATAACTGATGCATCATTAACTTATAAATCAACTATGATGTCATAACAATCACTTATAATATTAACACGGCACATTCTGTGTAGCTCATATGTTACGCTATTCACGTCTATTTACTCTTCGTGCGTGTAACGCGATCAATTACGTCTACTTGCTTTTACGTTCAGGTAATAACATAAAGCACCCAAAATGTTTTGAGATGATGGAACAAAGATGTGCATCCATCGATACGGAATTACACAAAGATGAGTGATGAATGCGTGCGTAAGGGCTGAAAAGTAAGTGTCATCAGTGCCATGTGAAGTATTTAGAGTAGATGGAAGGAGTGGTGAAAGGGGAAAAGAAAGGACACCGTACACAGTGCTGAGAGGTGGACCATCGGGGTTTACCGTTTACCGACAAATGTTACAATTGTCGAGGTTAATACAAGCCCTGCCAATACTGCCACCACCAGCAACACCATCTTACGTGGCGTGCTAGAAGTGGGAGATGTAAAGTTCCAGCTCATCCACTAACAAATATGCAACATACCACAAAGTACCGATATGAAATAAATGAGCATCTCAGATAAACAGCTGAGCACTGTTTTGATGAACTCTGCATTTCCGGATAGCATCTCATCGAGTTATAACGTTACCATTATTTCCTGAATGTTCAAAGTTTTTCGAAATTTCGAATTCGTTCCTATCTAATATTAACGAAGAAAGCTGTAAAAGCAGTCCAAGAAATGTTTACAGTTTCCGTTTTTTCTCTTGTCTGTGTCATCTTCAAATAAATCAGAGCGGGAACATTTAACAGTTTAATCTGTTTCTTGCAAGTTCCATGTTTAAAGTTCAAAACCTTTAGTGCATATGATTCCTCCATTAATGATTATTAATGTGACGTAACATGCATACACACACACACGCACGCACACGCACACACACACATGCACACACACATGCACATTCACAAACACACATACAAACACATAGCAGACATATGCATATACATACACATATATACGCACACACACACACACATACACACACACACACATACACACACACATACACACACATATACACACACACACATATACACACACTCATACGCACACATCATACACTACACACACACACAACAAAACACATGTACACACGCACACACGTGCATGTGAGACAAATTGGAGAGTTGAGAAGGCTTGTGAATATTTGTGTTAAAAACAAAATATCAGTTTTTTTTTCTGATGTTTTGATAAATTTGTTGATATTTTGCCAGAATATCAGCAAATATATCAAAGTATCCCTTACTATCATCTGTCAACTTTTATTTGTTTACAAGTAAATGTTAGAGAGTTAATATTTGTAAAGTGAAACAAAAACTTGTCAAAGTGTGAAACAGTGTGATTCAGCTTTTAGGAAGCAACCAGGAAGAATAGTGCAATGCAAACTTGAAAAGTACTAAAGTAAATTAGCAAGACAAAGAAGAAAGGAAATATTTAAAAACGTTTTGTTAAAAATTTCAAAAATCGAAAAAGTGCAATTAAGCAATTACTACCATTCGATCATTTCTTCTAATTTCTGAACAAGGTTGAAATTTGATCTATTTAATTACATTCCTTTGTTTCATCCATCCTTATGTTATGTACCTTCAAAAATAGATCATATCTTCAATACCGTTCAGATGAAAAAAGCTATTGCAGGTTGGCTTGTATGGATTAATGTTTATTAGGTTTAGTCATTTGACGTATTTGTGGATGGCTTTTGAAAAAAGAAATCCTTTAATTGATAAAACTGTCCTTCTTTTCATCATTTAATTTTCATTCATTTCAATTTTGACAATGTAATTACGGTTTTTCGAATAGTAATATCAGATAAGTATTACTTACTTATTGACTTCTCACTTATTAATCTTATGCATACAAATGTTATTTTGCAAAAGGTAATTAAAATTAAGAGCTTTTCACAAAAATTACATAATGAGAAGTCGTAAAATAGATGTATTTTCCATCCATTAATGATGAATTTAAAAGCTTCAATAACTAGAAAAAGTTTTTCTTTTTTTTTCCTGTCAATGACCTGATATAAATGAGCAATTTTTTGAGGAAATAAAGTGGTTCATTTTTTCATCAGAACTAATAACGCAGTAGGAATATATAAGAAACGAATGTGAATGCATTAGTTGGAAACCTTTCAATAATGATTGTTATTTTGTTCCTTCCTGAATTACCATTTCAAATGAAAATAGCGAAAATTAATAGAACCAAAGATTATTAAGCAGGAAGAAATCCTTTTATTACATCACTAAATGACTGACAATTTTCTCTTTTTTTTTTCCACTAAATTATCACGAAAGCATAGATGATAAGTTATTGTTATTATATTTATTCATACTCATAATATTAGCATATTACTTTCACTATTTTCATTACTTCTCATTGTTAACGTCAGTTGTTATTATCGTTTCAAAATTCAATTATAATGAAAAAAAAAAGCCTCAAAAACAATTGTTTGCAATAAGTAGCAAATAACTTTACAAAGTTCTTCGCCCATTATTTTATTTCACTTTACACAAACCATCATCTCATACATCCAGTCCATCACTACATAAGTTGCTTATTTGTGAAATTCATTTCACTATCACATTTCTTCTCCACTCTATTTTATTGGTCCCTGTTGTTAATCGTAAAATTTCACACAAACTTCCCTGAAAGAATGAGACGAAGTATTGCAAATGTTCTGGAAGGATCTGGGTAATTGATTTGATTTGAACACTTACTCTCTTACTCTGCAACTTACTCCATCATATCTTATTTTCATTATGTTTCTTATAGCTACCTGAAAGCAATTTCTTTTTTTATTGTTCATTTTTCTTGCAATTACGTGAGAATATACGTGATTGATTTGTTTATTAATTTAATTTTTAACGCAATCATCTTAGCAGAAATGATTTTCATCCGAAAATTTTATTGGCTAGCAGAGAAACGACAGAATAACGTTTCAAATTAAGTGGTTGAATTTAAGAATTTCAAATAGTTGGTAACAATTTTTGCAAGCATAATTCAAAACTGATATAATCATAAGCGTAAATTTCAATTTAGAAGTTTTTTTCGCTTCTTTTTTTTTTTAGTGAAGTAATATTTTTTAGAATTATCCCCGTTGACGTGATGAAATCGCGAGAGGACGTAACAAATCTTATTGTGGCAACAAAAGTCCAAAAAGGTGTCACATGGAAATCAGTAGCGGAAAAAATTGGCAAAAGCAAAGAGTGGACAACTGCAGCATGCTTAGGTCAAATGACCATGTCAAAGGAGCAAGCAGAAAAAGTTGCTGAAATATTTGATCTGCCAGAAAGCGCTCTCTCATGGCTTCAAACAGTTCCTCACAAAGGCACACCGGGAATTCCTTCTGATCCAATCCTTTATCGATTACATGAGGTATTTCACATTGCTAACAAAATACACTTATATATTTACTTAAAAATTTATTTATAAAAAATTTACCTTTCCATATTTTTATTGATTGAGGCAACAAAGGAAGTGAGAAATTGATAAAAATTGATTCGGTCGAAATTTCATTAGCGTTCTGATAAGCTCTTAATGGTTCATCATTATATCAAAACTGTAAAGCTTAGCATGGAAATCTATGTGAGAAGTACCAGAAGTGAAAGAATTTTTACAAAAGGACTGAAAGGAGGGATTAAATTATGATATGATAAAATTAACTCCTAATAGAATATCTAGGTGATAACAGTGTATGGACCTACGATCAAGGAGCTAATTGCGGAAGAATTTGGTGATGGTATAATGAGTGCAATTGATTTCAATTTAACTGTCGCACGTGAAAAAAATGAGCAAGGTGATCGAGTATCACTTGTATTATCAGGCAAATTTTTGCCTTATAAAGACTTTTAAATGGAAAATATTGAATTATCATTAAATGCAAATTTTGTGCTTTACCCAATGCATATAATTTACATGTTGCTTATCATTTCCATGAGAAATAAAAAAGTTCTTCATATAGTAAAAGTGATAGGTAGCTGAATGTTGGAAAACTCTAAGAGTGATAGGTAGCTGAATGTTGGAAAACTCTAAGAGTGATGGTAAGCTGAATAGTTAGGAAAACTCTAGTTGCATCAAGAAAATACATTAAAAAGAAAAAAGAACTTTTGCATTCTAAAGCATAGTT